GCTTGTTAATAAGTTTATTACTTTATGACCCCAATCAAGTATCAAAACACCACATTTGTTACGCAACACCTAGAGGTCAACGTTTTCAAACATTCTGATCAATCAACCATAACAAAAAGATGGCAATGCTTTCTCCCAGTTTGACTGTATTTACAGGATACTAGTGCTCTAATATTGTATTTTAAAAAACAATTGGAAATGTAGACGGTGTTAATAATAAAGTCAAAGAAATCATTTAACCTGTACTTTTATATATTAGGATCACGAAGAAAACACAACAAGGAAGTCCAATCTACAAAGTCTCGAAAAATGATTACGTGTCATATCAGGCGGTTAGATCACGGGACAATTCTGTAATTGCATAAAAACGGCTATTATAAATTACAAGTTCTGGAATGAGGATCGTTGGATTGAATGCGATGTAAATTTAGTCAAAAGCTAAAGTAATTTTAGTTTAAATATATTATAAATTACAAGTTCTGGAATGAGGATCATTGGATTGTATGCGATGTAAATTTAGTGAAAAGCTAAAGTAATTTTAGTTTAATTATATCATTTGTGTGCAAATTACCACTGTTCGGTTGGTTGCGCCGTATTATTTATCAATATGGAGATTTCTGTTTTATGGATATTGCTATTGAAGGTAAGATGCACAATTTTGCAAGGTGGCACGTTTTTATAAATTTAATAAATGTCGAACGGTGAGTGCGCGTCTTTTTAGTAATAAAGCAGAAATATATTTATGTTGTTTTTGATGGATTTACTCTCTATATTCCCGTGGATATTCAAATTGGGCGCTGACTGCTGGGTATTTATAAATGCCGACATTACATTCACCTTTCCGTATACGATAGATCCGCATTTTTATTTCATTAAATTCAACTTTATATATATGGTACGCAATACAAAAGACACATAAGAGAAACGTAGATCATAGCGAGCACACATGCCTGTCAAAAGACCTGCCTTTAATTATACAAAGACCTGCGTAAAACACACGGTCGAATGATAAATCGCACCGTAAAAGTTTTACTTCCAAAATTTTGATTTAACACGTACGTGTCAGATAAAGCCTGTTGGTCCTTGATTATACTCCTTTTGATGCAGTTATCACAACTAGCGAGAAAACACGCCAATTAAACAATACACAACATTGACATTCATTTTTTACCGGTCGGTTAATTAACACACCTCTACTGAAAACGCACTGTCGCACAGTTTTTCACCCCTAGCGTTAATTAACTCACCTCTCAGACAATTTTTCACCCTTGTTAATTAACACACCTTATTTACAGTTTTAACGCGGTAATACTGAGTAATAGTCGGAAAATTAATTTTCTTTCGATACACGTACAAATAACAAAGATGATTGAGAATTATATGGTGGCTGTGCACAGATTCACCCTTTAGCAGTTCTCAGTGACTCCTGTTACAAAACTACAGAAATAATTAAGTAAAACAAATTACCGCCCTACATAATTGCCTTACTTGTTTTCAATTTGTAGAACAAGCATGGCGATTGTACGGCTGACGAAAACAGAGGCAGGCCACGCCCACACCCAGTGTATACCTTGTCAACCACACTGTCCACATCCGGCTAGTAATATTTCAAGTACTAATACCTTCTGACTGATTGACGTGTTTTCGCTATCAGTTTACTGAAAATATTATTGCTACACAATTATTATGTCTGATCATCAGGGCTGCCGACAACCAGTATCGCAGCACAATTTGCGATACATATTTTGTCCGTTGCTAATCAAAAATTAAAATCTAACATTTTTGATTCGAAGTAACTGCGAATCATTAACATGCCTGTCATTTTGGATATTGACACAAAGATTTATCCACATTTCTCAACGCTTTCAACGTATATATAAAATATCAAATAAATTTTATAAACAAAACGGAATTCTCCGTGTGACATTTTCTTCTCGAACTACCCAGACTCAATTCATTATACTATATAAAACAGGGACATAACTCTATGAATCGGGACTATTAAACCAGAAATAGGGAATCAAGTAGTACCACTCACGTTGCGAGACATGTCAATTTCGAGTAATTATATCAGTATTCAATTTGAAAAAAATTAAATTCAGTGTATCCCCCACGTATTGTAAATAAAATATAAAAAATAAATATGTGTAAACGTATTGTAAAATGAGAAATCAAAGTAAGAATTCCCGTAAACTATTATTGTTTATATCACGTGCGTCTAGTTAATCGAGATTATTCGTAAAATACCGTCTACATTCATTCGGAAATGTTCACAGCTACCTGTAGAAGTGCTAAAATTCTAAAAAAAATCTTAAGAATGAAATCTAATCATTTGTTATCAATTAAAATTAAAATAATCTTGTTATTTAGGTGTTTTATGTTGAAACTGAAAAACTGCTAATCAATTTTTAAATTTGCTAATCAAATTTGGCAAAATTGGACTTTTTGATTAGCAGTGCTGCTATAATCATCTGTGAAAAATTACCGACAGCCCTGCTGATCATGTACATAGTATTTTACTAATTAGACGAAATAAGTAATCCACAGAGTAGTTTTGTACTAAAAATGATAGAAAACTGCCATACCCCAAACAGTAACAAATGGACGAACACCAACCGATTCTATGTTGTTGACATAACATCAAGGGACATAACTACTTATGTCACTTGATCGTCATAAATAACAACAAGATGAATATTTTGAAGTGAAGACATACTTCTTTGATGGAGAGAACAGTTTTGTTACTGCTTTGGATATATATATTTTGGAACGATAATACTAGACTTTATAATACTAGAAATTATCTGGTGTTTCTACGCAGTTGTGCAAAACTTTTCAATAAATAAAAAAAAATGGTTGGTGTTGGTAGAATTGTTATTGTTTGGGGTAAGGTAGTTTTTCTCATATTTTTAGAGCAAAAGTACACAGTGGTTTACTTATTTCGTCTAATTAGTAAAATAATATGTACCTTAATATGTACCTGACTGATCAGACAAAGCCTACTTCTAACTGTTTAAGATGACTGACCATTGTAAATTGCATGTATTCTATGTGTGACATCACATCACACTGCATCAATCATTGGCTTCAATAGCCCATGCATTGTTTACATAGGCCGTAGTAACATAAACTGGTCTGGGCAGAATACTATTACAAAGACATACTTCAAACACTTTTATTTTTCTAATATGCAAAAGGACCAGTGGCTGCCAGGCAGGATACGCCCACATTTTGCAAGAGATGGATAGAGAACAAGCTAAAAACAAAAATGATTTTTGAACAATCAGGGGCCATAAGCCAGGAAGTTACGTTCGGATATGTGTGATTATCAAAATGAACCAAGATCTTTATGATAAAAACATATATTTAAAGTTTCATCCAAATCAGATAAAATATGTGGCCTCTAGAGGGTCCACAACCTTGATATACCATATTTTTACACAATTTGCATACAAGAGACGGCCATTATGTCCGTCAGTTTTTGTCTGATTTTCACAAAATTTGACCTCAACCATCATTAGTGTATATATGTCATATATTCACATGGTATTTTTTTAAAATCAGATAAAAATTGTGACCTCTATAGGAACCACAAGCTAAAAACATGATTTTTTTGTAAAATCAGGGGACATACTTCAGGAAGTTACGATCCAATATGCGCGAATATCAAAAAAAACCAAGATCTTTCCGTTATAAACATGCATTTCAAGTTTCATCAAAATCAGATCAAAGTTGTGACCTCTAGGAGGTCCACAACCTTGATATACCTGATGCTTACACTATTTGCTTACCGTAAGCAGACAATGTTCATCATCGAAATCCATCAGGACATTCACCTAATGAACGCCTACACCAAGTTTGAACATTCTACCTCAATTAGGAGATTTATTGTGTTCCAAAGTATTGACCAATCAAATTGCTTATCGCTCTGCTTACCTGAGCAGAAAATGCTCATTATCGAACTTAGTCAAGGTATTGATGTGATAAAACTATACAACACGCTAATGGCTTCACTCTTACTTAATTAGAACTAATGTTATCATGTCCCAAATCATCAACCAATCAAATTGCTTATCTCTGCTTACCCTAGGCAGAAAATTCTCATCTTCGAACTCCATCAAGACATTCACCTAATAAACACCTACGCCAAGTGTGAACATTCCAGCTCAATTAGAATGAGAGTTATTGTGTTCCAAAGTCTTGATCAATCAAACTGCTTATAGAAAATGCTCATTATCAAGGTATTGATGTAATAAAACTACACCAAATTTCATCATTCTCTCTTAATTAGAACTAAAGTTATCATGTGCCAAAGCATCAACCAATCAAATTGCTTATCTCTGCTTACCCTAAGCAGAAAATTCTCATCTTCGAACTCCATCAAGACATTCACCTAATAAACACCTACGCCAAGTGTGAACATTCCAGCTCAATTAGAATGAGAGTTATTGTGTTCCAAAGTCTTGATCAATCAAACTGCTTATAGAAAATGCTCATTATCAAGGTATTGATGTAATAAAACTATACACCAAATTTCATCATTCTCTCTTAATTAGAACTAAAGTTATCATGTTCCAAAGCATCAACCAATCAAATTGCTTATCTCTGCTTACCCTAAGCAGAAAATGCTCATCTTCGAACTCATCAAGGCATTGACCTAATAAATACTTAAAACCAAGTTTGAACTTTCTATTGTGTTCCAAAGTCTCGGCAAATCAAATTGCCTATCGCTCTGCTTACCCCGAGCAGAAAATGCTCCTTATCGAACTTAGTCAAGGAATTGATGTAATGAAACTATACACCAAGTTTCATCACTCTCACTTAATTAGAATTAAAGTTATCGTGTCCCAAAGCATCAACCAATCAAATTGCTTATCTCTGCTTACCCTAAGCAGAAAATGCTAAACTTTGAAGTTCATCTAATAAACACCCACAGATGAACCCATAATTAAAGAGTTTCAGCTTCTTCAAGATCTATTCTAAAGGTTTATGTTTTTTACCTTGTGTAAAGCATCATCTTCTGTTTTTTTACGTTTCTCTTGTTTATCTGAATCAGCTTTTGCAAAAGCTTCTTTAGCTCTTTCATATTCCTGTTGTCTGTTTACATATAAAGCTTGAGCTTTTCTTAAGTTGGTAACAGTATCATGCTATATATATATATATAAAAAAAAAATAAAAAATCATGACATAAATTATAATTGCTTGTTAATAAATTTTAAAATAACTTAATAATAACCAGTTCTACAAATTATAATAATAATAATAATAATAAGTCTCAATTTGTATAGTGCAAAAATACTTTATGGCAGTTTCTATTGCACTTTTTTCAAGTTTAAACAAAATCATTCACTACTGACAAGAATAATCCTGGTTGAAAAGATGAGTTTTAAGCTGAGATTTAAAGCTTTCTACAGACTTGGCCAGCCTAACTGACAAGGGTAATGAATTCCATAGAACAGCGGCCTATCTCAAGATTGACAGCCGGGACCATCAATAAATTTTTATTCGTTGATCGTAAGTTTCTAGTGGGACCATGTGTAACAAGAAGATCTTTTATGTATTCAGGAGCTTTGTCAGGCTGACCTTAAAAATATCTTTGTTTCACCAAACCCGACCCACAATCGAGGAGAAGGGTCGGTAGGTCGGGTTTTTTTCAGATTTTTTTTTTTAAGAGCTAATTTGACAGCTTGATAATTTTCCGGGTGCAAACATTCGTCTTCTTTTATTGGCAAACAAATCAATGACATCGGGATTTTTCTTGATGCACAACTCGCACACAAATTGCGACAAACTCACGTTTCAAACTCCCTCAACACGTTTTTAACGACCGTGCGGGTTGTGCCTTCATTTTTCTTGAAAACGGATATTGAAAATATCGTCGTCATGTTTAAATTGACGCCCCACAGACATAGAGGCAGAATCATTTTGTGGGAATGGACGTGCTTTCGTCTGCAACCATTTTGCTGAGAAGCGACACCTATGACGCTTTCGTCTTGATCAACCAGTTTCAATAATGAATCAAACCATAGCCATAGTAAAGGGAAATAACTCTCGTGATATATTTCAGGTTGACACACAAAATAAAATAAAAAGATCACGGAAAAGTGCAATAAAATAATTTAAGTCGGGGGTGGTTTTAGTTAGTCGGTCGCGTTAGGCGAAACAAAGATATTTTTAAGGTCAGCCTCATTTAAGGCTTTGAAGGTTATGAGTAGGATTTTAAATTTTATTTGTTCACTAACTGGTAACCAATGAAGACGCTTCAATATCGGAGTTATGTGTTGGTGTTTTCTGGTTTTTGTTAAGAGGCGAGCAGCAGAATTCTGGACGTGTTGAAGGTTTTGAATTAGATACTTTGGTAGCCCAAACAGTATTGCGTTATGATAGTCTATCTTAGAAGTTATGAATGCATGAACTAGAACTTCGGCACTTTCTGGGGTCAGATATTTTTAAATTTTACTTATTCTATGTAGATGAAAAAAAGATGTGGAACAGACGGATTTAATATGGGCAGAGAGTGACATATTTGAGTCCAAGATGGCGCCAATGTTTTTTGCTGTAGGAGTAGATGTGACATTTTCTTGTTGAAAAGTTAGGGTTGTTGAATCAATCTTCTTTAGTTGCTGTTTTGTGCCTATTATCAAAAATTCTGTTTTCTCGGGATTTAATTTTAAAAAGTGGGTCGACATCCATCTATGGATTTCATTTAAACAGGCTTCTATTGAATGTTTTGAACTGAGCTGGTTTTTAGTTTCAAAACTTATGAAGATCTGGGTATCGTCGGCATACAAATGGATTTTTAGTCCAAAGCGCGCTGCAATTTCTTTCAGCGGTTTCGTGAAGATTATAAATAACACAGGTCCTAACACTGAACCCTGTGGTACGCCACACAGCATAGGACGGGGATCTGATTTGGAACCATGGATGTTAACAGTTTGCTTTCGCTTGGACAGATATGATCGAAACCATTCAAGAGCCACTCCAAGTACACCTATTTCTTCTTCAAGAGTTACGAGTAAGTCGTTCGTATCGAGAGTGTCAAAGGCAGCTGATAAGTCGAGAAGGATTAGAAAAACGCATTGTTGTCGGTCTATAGATTGGAAAATATCACTTGTTATTTTAATCATTGCTGTTTCTGTGCTGTGGTAAGGTTTATATGCAGATTGAAATACGTTGTTGAGAGAATTACTTTCAATGTGGTCAAGTAGCTGGATTAGTACACATTTTTCAATCAGTTCTGAGATATAACTCAGATTGCTAACTGGTCTGTAGTTTTTCAGGAGATCTGGATCAAGACCGTGTTTCTTTAGTAGTGGTTTTAATAGAGCCTCGCCTAACTCTTCTGGGAAAATACCACTATTCAAAGAGCTGTTTACAATCAAACAGATGATAGGTAAAAATGAATCAATGTGAGTTTTTAACAGCCATGTCGGAAGGGGGTCGAGTTCACAGAATTTGCTAGTAGTGTTATGAATAATTTTCTGTAGCGAATCTTCCGTGATGAGGTCAAAATGATCTAGAGATGCGGATGTGGTAACGCGATATGTTGGTACTTGTGAAGTCAAGGAAGCTTGAACCTCCAAGATATCTGTTCTTATCTTCATTATTTTATCATTAAAGTAGTTGATAAATCGGTCGGCTAATTGACTGGTAGAAATATGGGTTGGTAAAGATGAATCAAATTTTTGTCTGTTCAGCAAACTGTTGGTTATTTGGAAAATTTTCTTTTGGTCATTGCCGCAGGTCATGATTTTTTCTCTATAGAATTCTGTTTTAGTACTTTGTATTAGTTCAGCTACTTTTTTCACTTCGGCTTTGTATATTTGCTTATGGACTGTAAGGTGAGATCTCTTCCACTGTCTCTCTGCTCTCCGTTTATTCTCGCATCTCTGATAGCTTCTTTAAACCAGGGGCATTCGGGTTTTACAACCATTTTCGGGGTGATTTTGGGTGCATGTTTTTCAATTATATTTCTGATTTCAGAGTTATACAATCTGACAAGATCTGAGCAAGAAAAATGTGATATTTTTGATGAAAGAAGGTGACTTTGTTTAATAAAATAAAACCAAGTACGAACAATCCAAACCATAAGACAGAATTCAAAGTCCTAAAAAACGTTATAGGCAAAATAGTGTATTAAAGCAAAATAGTGTAATCTGCAAATGGACTGCTCCTCGTGTACAAAATACACGACAAACAGTGGTAACAGGTGTCCAGAAGAGTAAGCTTACCCTGCCTGGTGCCACACCCGCCATAGCTGCATCCAAACTATTAGGCGAAATGTCGGTAAAATAGCGTGATTGGCCAATGAACTATCGGTATGCAAAATGCACGCGATGTAGTAGACATTATCAGGGAGATAGTAATAGTATACGTGTCAATTAAATATATCTAGAATAATAGCCGAGAGAGACACGTTATATTTACCAATCAAATCAATATGACAGCTAATAACTTTTTAAAGGTTTTAATAAGTTTAGTGCGCAAGTATCCTTGTAGTTGAAGCTTAGATGACAAATGCCTCGATCTACTTAAAAAATCAGAATAAAAGGAACAAGCTCTCGCGTAACGAATTAGCTGAGACAAAAACACTCCATCAGCTGGTGATATTGGAATGTTACTACTAATAAATGGAAAGTTAACAATCGGAAAGTCTTAGTCATCACGTTTATCGTACAATTTAACACTCAGTTTATGGCAATTGTCAAAATCGAGACGCAGATCCAAGTAGGAAGCGTAATTGTCACTGTCAGTGGTGTTTTTAATTTCGAGCTCATCAGGATATATGAATTCTACATAATCACTAAATTTAGGATTATTAAGTGATAAAACGTCATCGATATATCGATAAGTGAAATTAAAAAGTCTGACTGATCGTTTATTAGTTTTTACGAGCGTCTGTATGTAATCGGCTTCGTACGAATAGAGAAACAGATCAGCAAGCAAAGGTGCATAGTTGGTGCCCATGGGGATGCCAACCACTTGCTGATATATTTCCCCTCCAAATTGGGAGCCACGGTGGCTAGGTGGTTAAGACGCTGGCTCGCTAGCCTGGAGGTCGGGTGTTCGATCCCTGCATTGGCCGAGAAAGTTCATCTGGATTTTCCGACGTGGTTTCCCCTTGTCAGTGGTGCAGAACGGAGGGCCTGACAAGGACAGCTGTCTAGTCCTTCAGATGAGACGAAAAACCCAGGTCCAGTGTATACATTGGAATGCACGTAAAAGATCCCTTTGCAGTTGGAATTTGATGTAAGAGTAGGCGATAGTGCCGCTGCCCGGGCAAAATTTCCCTCATAGTACACTGTATGGCGTATGCCCGTCTTCATTAGCCCAGTATAGAAGCAGAACAGTAGGACGTTAAACCCCATCTCATTTTTTTTTCACCCCTCCAAATTCAACAAAGATGTTATCAATTAAAAAATCCAACATCTGAATTATCTTGATGGCCTTGAATTTGTTTTTGGAATCACTGTGATTCTTAACGAAATATGTAGAATTGTAATTTACAACCAAATATTGATATCTAGCAGTACCTGATTTAGACGAAAAGACACTGTGAATAATGTCTTTCAACCAGGCTTTTAATTTACTATGGGGAATTTTAGTGTACAAATTAGAAAAGTCAAACGTTTGAATAGACGAGACTGAAGCAAGGGATCTAGATTGTAAACCATCAAGTAATTCTTTGGAATTTTTCAATATCCACATTTGATTTATACCACTATGAGAGTATATGTTGTCACAGTATTTTTGAATACCCTCTTTAACAGCCGTAAGTAGAGATGTCAATACTTTTGAAAGTGGTTTTGTGGAACAACGGGATGAACCTGCTATAAAACGTTGCTTGTAGGGATTTTTATTAGTTTAGGTATCCAATATAACAAGGGCAAATCTGTATAGGTATCTCCACACGGAGTACCAAATGAAGTGAGTACAGATTTGTGATTGGATATAATTTCATTCTTACTAAGAGTAGATCGTTTATATGTAGCACTGTCGATTGGTTTCCCAAAATTAAGTTCTTTACATATAAACACTACGTTAATATCTTCGGTAAACAATTGATCATCGATTGTTTTGTATTTTCTATATTTTATTATAGTAGGCTTATGCGATGGAATTGTAAAGAATGGCAAACCAAAAAGAA